GCTCCCAATAACACAGGGGCTGTGGCTGTACACCCCTCCTGGGATATTGTTCTTAATATCCTAGGGAAGAAAGGATGATACTACACCCAATATCGCAGGGGCTGTACACTCACCCAGTGATATTGTTCTTAATGTACTCCACCTCCCACCACCAGGGATATCGTTCCTAATATCCAGGGGAAGAGAGGATAACATTATGCTCAATACCGCAGGGGAGTGTACACACCCTCTGTGGTGTTTTTCCTAGTATCCAAAGGTAGAGATGATGATATTACTGGCCATATTGCAGGGGGTGTACACCCTTCTGTGATATTGTTTTTGACTTTAAGTGGGGGAGAGGATAACATTAATCCCAATATTGCAGAAGGTGTGCAGACCCCTTGATGTAGTTACTACTGTACAGGGGAAAGAGAAGAATATTGCTCCCAATATTGCAGGGGGTGTAACCACCCTGCCCCCGTATATTGTTCCTAATGTGCAGCAGGGTGGAGGCCGATAGTACTCCCAATATCCCAGAAGGTGCACACACACCTGTGATGTAGTTCCTAATATCCAGCGGGAAAGAGGCTGATTTTACTTTCGATATCGCAGTGGGTGTACACTGCCCCCAAACCCGGGGTATTGTTCCTAATATCCAGGCGGGAAGAAGATGACATGGCTGACAGTATCGAAGGGGGTGTACACCACTTCAGTGATATGGTTCCTGATATCCAGGGCGTGAGTGGATGATATTACTCCCAATAAAGTAGGAACCGTACAGACACTCTGGGATTTTGTCCTTAATAACCACAGGGGAGAGGTGATATTACTACCAATATTGCAAAGGGTGTACACCCCTCCTGTGATATTGTTTCTTATATCCAGGATAGGAGAAGATGGTGTTAGTACCAATATTGAAGGGATGGACAGCCCCCATGGGGTATTGTTCTAAAGATACAGGTTGAAAGAGGGTGAGATTCCATCCAATATAACAAGGGGTGTACACCCCGCCTGTGATATGAATAGTAAAACCTAGAAGAGGAGAGAATGACATTGCTTCCAAGAATACACGGGGTGTACACCTACCCTGTGATATTGTTCCTGTCATCTAAAGGAAGAGATGATGATACTACTCTCACTACCGGAGAAGGTACACACCCCCCTGTGATATTGTTCCTCATCACTTGTGGGGGAGAGCATGATATTACTTCCAATATGACAGTGGCTTAACACCCAGTCTGTGATATTTTCCTAATTTCCACTAGGTGAAGTATGATGTTCCTGCCAAGAGAGTAGTGGGTGTACAGTCGCCCTGTGATATGTCTCTGAATATTCAGGGAAACACAGGATGACATTACTCCAAATCTCCCAAAAAGTGTACACCCATTGTGTGATATGCTTCCTAATATCCGGAGGTGCAGAGGCTGGTATTCGTTCTCCTATCGCAGGCTGTGTACACACCACCTGTGAAATTGTTCCTAATATCCTGAACAAAAGAGATGGCTAATAATGGACACACATTGCAGGGGGGAGTAATTATTACTATCCACATCGTAATGGGGAGTAATAGCAACCCCCTCTCTCCCCCTCGCTGTTAGGATCCACATCGCAGGGGGGTGAGGCACCCCCCGCGATATGGGGAGTAAAAGCATCCCCCTCTCTCCCCCTGCGTTAAATAAGGAGGCTGGCCTTATATAAGTGCTCCCCAATGCCATCGCAGGCTTTAATGTATTCACTTAAAGTTTTTTCCTCATTTAGATCTGCCTTTCCCTTAATAGGTCTAATTGCTGCCTGACATTCTGTATTAGCAGTTTCATGAGCAAGCAGCTGAACGATCACTTTCTTGGCATGAGCATTGGAAATAACCTTTTGAGCCCCATCCTGCAAACGGGCGACAGAATCTGGATAAGGCTCCCTTGGACCCTGTTGAACTGTGTTAAAAGAAGGATAAGCGGCAGCAGGGTCGTGAATTTTTTCCCAGGTTCTTAGGCACGTAGTTCTGAGCTGATTGACAGCCTCATCACCCATTACCATCTGTTGATTTAGAGTACTCCATGCCTGTCCGATTCCAAGCAATTGATCAGATGTGATATTAACCGGAACGTTGGGCTTGAGCATTTCTGCGTGCCAGATTTGTTGCTTCATCCGTTTTCAATTGGAGAAATTCAGAGGGGAACAGGGTGGATCGGGCTAATGCCTCCCAATCCATAGGCATTCAACGTCTGTTATAAGCCACACGTTGTAACAAGGAATGAACATAAGGAGAATTTGGCCCATATTATCCAATTGCTTGCTTTAAGTCTTTTAATATTTTAAAAGGAAATGGCTCCCAACATGCTTGAGCAATTTCTCTGGGCTCCTCAGCTGGTGAAATAATTACCAGAAACTGTCAAGCATTCAAATCCCCCATTTCTTGTGCCTGGCGAACAGATGCCTGGATTGTCCCTGTGCCATAATTTGTGCTTGGACCGGCTCGCAGTATTCCTCTACCCTAACTAACAGGTGGGCAAGCCTGGATCATTCCCTCATCGTAATTGGCTGTTGGACAAGCCTGAAGCTTCCCTTCGCCATAGTTACTGGCGGGACCTGCAATAGTGGGAGCCACAAGGCTCGTCTCAGGCTCCCCTTCCAAAAATTCCTAAGGCTGGCCTAGGGGTGGCCATTCCAGACCTTCCCCTAAAGGCGCAGTAGGTGGCACTGTTTCTTTTACAAGTTTTTGGAGATTAGCATACATACCTTCCCGTTTCTTGCCCGTTTTTAAACTAGACTGTCATGGTTCACTTTGCTGATAATTAGACTCCTGATTATTCAACTTTCCTATGTCATCCTGCAACTCCTCATTCTCCTCCTCAGTGTGGAAGGGCTCCAGTGCTGTTTTAATTGCCGACCACACAGACCAAGCAGAGACGGGAATATGGTGGCCCTCTTGTTGTGCTCCTTTTAAGTCTGATCTGACCTTGTTCCAATCTTTTACATTCATGGTTCCATATTCCGGGAACCAAGGAGAATACTTGTCTACCAGATGGAACAAAGATGTGAGATTTTGGATACTCAGAATTACCCCTTCGCGGCGCAGTAACTGCCGCACAAGGCTTAATAAGTAATTAGCGAACTTACTCTCAGCCTGACCCATATTTTTCCGAGGTTTCCCTGGAATTCTCCAAGCGCCCTACTTACCATAGAGCTTGAAGTGAAAACCTACTCGGGAGTCCTCTGTCAGTCGTGCTCCGCTTTCCACGCTCTGGTGTTCCTTCACTGGATTATTTGTAGAGATTACGGGGAGCCCCACGTTGGGCACCAGAGACCAGCCTGGGCAACCGAGGGAGACTCCCGTTTCTACCAAAAAAAAAAAAAAAAAAAAAAAAATTACCCAGGTGTGGTGTCGCGCCTGTAATCCCAGCTACTCCATGAGAAATCAGACAAAACCTGGCACGAGAGACTGATTTTCTTCTCAAATGCTTTCTCCAAAACATTTTTAAAACAAAAGGGGGAAATTGGAAAGGAAAATATTTTGGGCCCCCCAAATCGCTAAGATAAAGGGAGAAGTCAATCTGGGAACTGCTTAGGGCAAACCTGCCTCCCATTCTATTCAAAGTCATCCCCTGCTCACTGAGAAGAATGCATATCTTATTGCCTCCTTTGGAAAGCCCCATCAGAATCTCAGAAGAGTGTAACCGTTTGTCTCTCACCTACCTGTGACCTGGAAGCCCCCTCCTGGCTTCGAGGTGACCCACTTTTGCTTCAGGTTGTACCGGATCGAACCAGTGTTCATCTTACATATGTTGATTGATGTCTTCTGTCTCCCTAAAATGTATAAAACTGTCAGATACAGTCAGTTTCTCTTCCAAGGTTTGGCATGTTAACGTTCTTGTTTTGTTGTTCTCGAACTCAACTTTCTTGTTCCCCATGCAACCTTGCCCTTAGTTACTGTAAACAAAACCTTCCCATCAGTTTTAACCAATAACTCACATCCGTTCCCTTGGTTACCTGCTTTGCACCCATTTCTCCCTTGGAAACCACACGTCCCACCGTTGTAACTCACATCTCCCTTCCCCCTTCCTTATTTGGGAAAATATTCACAAATAACCAAGCGGGTCAGTTTAGATCTTGAAGTCTGGCCCCAGCCCATGCCAGAGGTGGGGATTGCGTTAGGAATAAAAACCCCTGCTTTCCTTTGTTCCCTGTGCTCTTGCAATTGTGATTGATGCCAGCAGCACCCTTCTGCAGAAGTAAATTGCGTTGCTGAGAAAACTTTTTCGCTTGAGTGCTGGTTTCACGTTGTGGCACCGAGCATTTATCTCCAACAAAACCAAGCTGTGCTCTGACCATCTTGGGCAACTGTCATCAGGACATCCTGAGGCTGTGTCATGCACAAGCATCCCCAACCTTGGCAAAATAAACTTTCTAAATACTCTTATCCCCAAATGCTCAGGGAGACTGATTTGAATAATCAGAAAACTCCGAGGCTGCACTCCAGCCTGGGCTACAGAGCAAGACTCTGTTTCAAAAAAATAAAATAAAATAAAAAACTCCGGTCTCCCGCACAGCCGACTCTGCGTGAATTACTCTTTCTCTATTGCTATTCCCCCGTCTTGAAAAATCGGCTCTGTCTAGGTAGCGGGCAAGGTGAACCCACTGGGCAGTTACAGAATTGTCATTATATTGCTTGCAATTATATATATATATATATATATATATATATATATATATATATATATATATTGCACAAATAGCTATAACCTTGTATACAAGGTTAAATGCGAATGTCCTCCTTGCACGGTCAGATCCCAGCGCAGGAAGGACGCATCCCCTACAAACCGCTAGGCCAAAAATATCATTCTGGCCTCATCCAGCCTCAGGTGAGATCGCAATCTCCTGTCACTCAGGGCCTGAGAGGGTGGGGCCTGAAGCCCCATACAATCAGGGGCGCTGGGGTGGGGACCGTTCAATCAGGCGCGCCGCCGCAAAGGAGAGGGCGGCTTCCGGGATCTGGCTGGCGGGCGCTTTATTTCGCCTTCGCTACAGTAGGCTCTTTCTGTTAGTCTCCGCTGCTACTTCTTGGCTCTGGGAGGCCCAGGTGGCTCTGCAGCAGCCTCTGCCACCCTGTGACCTGCGGGTATTGGGACATCCCTAGCTGACGCCAGGACACCCGGGAAGCCGAGGAATAGTGAGTGGACTGCGTCTGGCTTCCCAAAGTGGGGAAGAGGGCTGGTTGAAACCTGCTGGAACCAGCCATCGGCTGCGGAACCTGCGAACCGAACCGAGTCGCCGCGGCGCAGCCAGGCCTCAGTCCCCTTTTGTGCAGGGCCGGGCGGGGCGGGCAGCGGGACCCCTGCGTCCTGTCTGTGCCTGTGGGCGCCACTTCCGCCGGCCCAAGCCCTCTCGGGAACCCAGCGCCTCCCCGACCCAGGTGGTGCGGTGACCACGGGAGTGTGATCCGGGAGAGCCCCCACTCGGTGTGCGGGGTTCCAGTGTGGGAGGAGCTGTGGTTCTTGGAGCTTCCAGTCCCACCTTTCTCCCCCTAAAGTTAACCTGAGGCTCTGTTAAAACGTTAAACGGTGTGTTTGAGCAAATGGCGATTCATAAACCGGTTGCCGCAGTCATGGTTTGTGGTTTGGGGTCCACAGGAGGGGCATAAATGAGAGGCTTTGATAAGGTTAATGAGGAAGCAAACCATACATATATATACACACATATATACACACGTGTATATATACATATATACACTGGAGTGCAATGGTGCAGTCTCAGCTCACTGCAACCTCTGATTCCCGGGTTCAAGCGATTCTCCTGCCTCAGCCTCCCAAGTAGCTGGGCTTATAGGCGCCCACCACCACGTCCCGCTAGTTTTTGTATTTTTAGTAGAGACAGGGTTTCGCCATGTTGGCTAGGTTGGTTTCGAACTCCTGACCTTAATTGATCGCCCACCTCGGCCTGCTAAAGCGCAGGGATTACAAGTATGAGCCACCTTGGCCAAAATATTTTTCTATTTCCAAACATTTTACATGAGAGGAAAGCGGAGAATAAATCATTGACGCTCTACTGTAAAAAAAATCTCTGTGCCTCTCTTCTTTTCATCTTTCCTAAGTGTGCGTATTACCAAAGTGTCTAGGTTGAGGTTCCCCCGTGAAAATGTTACAGGGTGTTGTGTCCTTAGCCACCCTCCTGTCTTTTCCTAGTCCTGGCATTTTAGAACTGTCTGGGGATGACCCAGGATACCCACAGTGGCCATGTCTATTGGAGGGTCTAGTGAGTATCAGCCCTGGGGTCATCTCATCCCCAAGGACAGCCTGAGGTAGGGGGTAGAGTCTCTCAGGGGAGCAGCTGGATGCTCTTGGCCTTAGAGGAATCTCCTGGTATAGTTTCATTTAAAATGGTGACCCCTTAGGGTCATTCAAATTTTAGGACATTAAAATTAATGGACAATACAATGTAATGTCATTAAAGTTGGGTCATTAAAATTGTTCCTCCAGCCGGAGTTTTTATTCCTTGGAGACACATTGATGGTGTGCCAATGGGATGCTGATATCGAGAGGAAAAGGCAGAAACGATTTCTGCTCTCTGGATTCCACCCCAGAGAGGATGTGCAAGAACCTGAATATTAAAATGCACTTAAGGCACACAGGAGGACAAAGAGCAGTGCCAGTGCCTCCTAGGTGGTCACTGAGTACTTTACTGAACAGGATGGGTGTCCCGAGGGATAGAATGGCCTGCCGTGACACTTAGAAAGCTCTGTGTTGGAGTCAGCACTGCCTCTCCCTGAGTTTACCTTGAAAAGGCTTGTCCGCTTATTTGAGTTTCAGTTTTTCATTGACTATAAGATACATTTTGTCAGTACAGCTTGAAAGATAAAAATACTATTTCCAAAGAGGCAAGGTAAAATGATGTATTTTATTTGCTAAAAATTTGTATTTATTTCTTCCCCAGAGTGAGTGTAGTAAGTTTTAAAGGTCTGTTCTTTTTAAGGGTAATTTCAAATGGAATTGTAGGACTTAGCTTTGTAAATGCTACTGGTGAAATAAAAGTGTGATAGATAAATTGATGATTTACAAAGATTCACCGAAATGTCAGTTCCCCTCTTGTAGCATGGTGAAGAATTTATGACAGTGGACACATCTGTATCCCCTTATCTGGGTATCTGAGGGTTTTTTTGTTGTTTTTTTTTGTTTTTTTGGAGACGCTGTCTTGCTCTGTAGCCCTGCTGGAGTGCAGTGGCGCCATCTCTGCTTACTGCAACCTCTGCCTCCCGGGTTCAAGCGATTCTCCTGTGTCAGCCTCCCGAGTAACTGGGATTATAGGCACCCACCACGACACCCAGCTAATTTTTGTATTTTTAGTAAACACGGGGTTTTAGGCCTGGCACAGTGGCTGATGCCTGTAATCCCAGCACTTTGGGAGGCCAAGGTGGGCAGATCACGAGGTCAGGAGTTCCAGAGCAGCCTGGCCAACATGGTGAAACCCTGTCTGTACTAAAAATACAAAAAAATTAGCTGAGCGTGGTGGCAGGCACCTGTAATCCCAGCTACTCGGGAGGCTGAGGCAAGAGAATTGCTTGAACTCAGGAGGTGGAGGTTGCAGTGAGCCAAGATCTTGCCACTGCACCCCAGCCCAAGCGACAATGCAAGACTCCGTCTCAAAAAACAAACAAACAAACAACAAGAAGACAGGGTTTTGCCATGTTGGCCAGGCTGGTCTCAACCTCCTGACCTCAGGTGATCGCCCGCCTCAGCCTCCCAAGGTGTTGGGATTACAGGCGTGAGCCACCACGCCTGGTTCACTCTATTTTCTTTTTATTCCCTAAATTTTAATATGTTTGAGTTTTTCTATTCCTTTATCACTTTTTTCTTACATAAAAAAAATTCTGCCTAATCCTTCGTAAAAAAAAAATCTTGCTGTGACCTCTGAAAGTGTTCTGGTTTTATCTTTCATATTTGATATATAATAAGTTGATTATTGTTCATGGAATAGAGAAGAATGCAATGCATATTCCCAAGTAGATGCCAGCTTTGTTTGCCTCATATTTTAAAGTGCATGTGATTTCTTTTTCTATTCTACAGTGCCTACTCTATCATTCATCAACTTTTCCATGTAAATGCTGGGTCTTTAAGACTTTTTTTTCCCTTGGTCTGCTTGCTCATCTCTCTGCTAATACTGTGCTGTCCTGAATATTTTTGTTTGAAAATCTTAGAAGTATGTTAGACAAGCCATCACTCTTTTTTTAGATGACTAAAAATCATTAGACATTTGTCATTTTTACTATGTATGAAAAAGTAGTTTTTCTTGCCTAAAACAACCTGATTTGTGAATTTGATTTCATAGGAACAGCATTTGGAAGTGGTGACATTAATGTCATTTGAAAAAACATGTGTCATATTTCCTCTTATTCCTTTCTGCCTTGACATTGTGCAATAGAAATTTTAAAAATTGTTGTATTAGTATTGTTAAATATCAATTATTGGTTTTATTTACTACCCAATTAAATTTAATAAGCTTATTCTCTCTTGGTGTAATCACATGGAATGGGCTCAACTCCCCAGTTAACAAGTGACAGCACATGTAAAATATTGTCTACCAGGGAAACTCATTGAACACTTGTGTTCAGACTGTGTTTTGGTGTCTGGTTCCCTAAGCACCACTGCAGTGACACGAAATAATAGACCTTCAGCAGAAAAAGTTTTGGCAAATATATTGCATAAGCCATTTAGATGCAGTGAGTCACTCTTATTATTTAGGTTGGTGGAATCCCTTTCAAAATGTAAGTTCCTAATACAAACAAAGATTGAACTTTGCGAGCAGGCATTTTTAACAATAAGTAGTCTCAGGACTATTAACTCACTTATGCACATCAGGTAGGACTTTATTATGACAGATACTAGAAATGTACAAAGTGAAGTTAAAAGGTAACTCCTAGTAGCACATCTTACTCCCTGGATTCTCTAATGAGATGGGTGTTTCTACTTTGCTGTTGCCTTTTTGAATAGTTCAATTCTAGCATTAGTACTGCTGTGTGGGAGGGAGTATGTGTGAAGAGAGTAAGAGTTGTGACAATCAAGTCATAGAATAAATGCTTGGAAATTTTAGAATCACGTAAACAGCTTAGGAATTGAGTATAGATTCCCAGTGCTGTCAGTCTCACCCATCCTTCTCTCCACATGTGTGGAATGTTCTAGGACTCCGTGGCTTTTGAGGATGTGGCTGTGAACTTTACTCAGGAGGAATGGGCTTTGCTAGATTCTTCTCAGAAGAATCTCTACAGAGAAGTGATGCAGGAAACCTGCAGGAACCTGGCTTCTGTAGGTAAGAATGACAACACATTTCACTTAATTACAGAAGTATTTCCCTATCATCAGTGCTATTTGTGATTTGGAATGTGGCAAGGGAATGATTTGGTGAATAAATTAGGCATGGGCACTGTGTACAATGAACATGAAATCTAGTAATGTTTCTATAGTTTGTAATAATTCATGATAATTTTGTGGGTCTGCATTTTAGGAAACAAATGGAAAGACCAGAATATTGAAGATCACTTCGAAAAACCTGGGAAAGATATAAGATAATTTGCACTGAGAAGAGGAAATAAAGTCCTCTGAAGGAATCTTAGCATGGAAGTATTCATACTGGAGAGAGACCCTGTGAATGTAAACAATGTGGCAAAGTCTTTAGTCATTTGAGTTCCCTTTGTAACCATAGAAGTACTCATACTAGAGAGAAACCCTATGAATGTAAACAATGTGGCCAAGCCTTCAGTCGCCTCAGTTCCCTTCACCTCCACGAAAGAATTCATACTGGCCGGGCGCGGTGGCTCAAGCCTGTAATCCCAGCACTTTGGGAGGCCGAGACGGGCGGATCACGAGGTCAGGAGATCGAGACCATCCTGGCTAACACGGTGAAACCCCGTCTCTACTAAAAAAAGTACAAAAAAACTAGCCGGGCGAGGTGGCGAGCGCCTGTAGTCCCAGCTACTCGGGAGGCTGAGGCAGGAGAATGGCGTAAACCCGGTAGGCGGAGCTTGCAGTGAGCAGAGATCCGGCCACTGCACTCCAGCCTGGGTGACAGAGCGAGACTCCGTCTAAAAAAAAAAAAAAAAAAAAAAAAAAAGAATTCATACTGGAGAAAAACCCTATGAATGTAAGAGATGCGGTAAAGCCTACACTCCTTCCAGTCACCTTACTCGCCATGAAAGAAGTCATGATATAGAGGCTGGGTGTAGTGACTCAGCCTATAATCCCAGCACTTTGGGAGGCGAAGGTGTGTGTATTGCTTGAGCCCAGGAGTTCATAACCAGCCTGGATTAAAACAATGTGAAACAACCTGGTCAACATGGTGAAACCCTGTCTCTACAAAAAATAAAATAATGCCGGGTGTGGTGGCTCACACCAGCTACTCAGGAGGCTGAGGCAGGAGAATGGCGTGAACCCGGGAGGCAGAGCTTGCAGTGAGCCGAGATCGCACCACTGCACTCCATCCTGGGCGACAAAGCGAGACTCCGTCTCAAAAAAAAAAAAAGAAAATAATTAACTGGGCATGGTGGCACATTTCAGTTGTCTTAGTTCTTTTTCAAAGACATAAAAAGCCATGGGGGGTTGGGGGGAAGCCCTGTGCATGCGGATCATGAGGTCAGGAGATCGAGCCCATCCTGGCCAACATGGTGAAACCTCGTCTCTACTAAAAATACAAAAATTAGCTGGGTGTGGTAGCATATGCTTGTAATCCCAGCTACTCAGGAGGCTGAGGCAGGAGAATCACTTGAACCCAGGAGGCGGAGGTCGCAGTGAGCCGAGATTGTGCCACTGCACTCCAGCCTGGCGACAGAGGGAGACTCCATCTCAAAAAAAAATATATATATATATCCCCTTGAATGTAAGAAATGTGGTAAAACATTTACTCTTTCCCATTCCTTCATAAACATGAAAGAGCTCACACTGCAGAGAAACCTTAAGAATGTAGGAAATGTGGTCAAGCCTTCAGATTTTCCTGTTTTTGAAGATTCGGGAGGGCTCAGAGTGGAGAATAGCCTTTTGAATTTAAATTTGTGGTAAGGCCTTCAGTTGTGTTAGTTCCATTTGAAGACATCAGCTCATTCCTGAGAAAAACCCTATGAATGTTCAGAATGTGGGAATGTTTCATTTCTCTCATACCCACTCAAGGACATATGAAAATGCACACTGTAGCTGGCTGGACCTTGTAAATACAAGAACGTACACAGGATTAAAACTCTAGTAGTTTAGAAACTGCAAGAATATTTTCAGTTTTAGCATTTGCTTGAAAAGTCATGTGAAAACTCCCACTGGAAAGAAGTTCTATAAGTGAAGTTTTTCTAATTTGGAAAGCCTGATGCAAATTAATTATCGTGCAGTGCTTGAAAAAAATGTATGAAATGTTATACAAGTTACAAGTATATTGTTTTTATCAGTGGCTCATTCTTGAAGAGTCTTGAGTATGCATTTCACCTTGTTTTGCAGGGAAACCTTGAGGTGAGAGTTCTGTAAATGCTCTTTAAGCAGTAGTACTTGAATTTCATAGATAATGATATTTTCTTAAGTTTGTTGGTAGAATTTTTGTCTATTCATTTGATAATGTGCTGGATTCATGGTTGAATTTTGATGTTTTTCTAATATATAGGTAAGTTTATTTTTTTATTTCATTATTATTTTTTTTTGAGATGGAGTCTCACTTTGTTGCCCAGGCTGGAGTGCAGTGGTGCGATCTCGGCTCACTGCAACCTCTGCCTCCTGGGTTTAAGCGATTCTCCTGCCTCAGCCTCCTGAGTAGCTGGGACTACAGGCGCCCGCCACTACGTCCAGCTAATTCTTTGCATTTTTAGTAGAGACAGGGTTTCGCCATGTTGGCTAGGCTGGTCTTGAACTCCTGACCTAATGATTTGCCCGCCTCGGACTCCCAAAGTGCTGGGATTACAGGCATGAGCCACCGCGCCCGGCCAGGTAAGTTTCATTTGTATGTATTGTCCTGTGATTAATGGACCAGTGAATAATGATTGTGAATTGTTGGGATTGTCTTACTAGCGTCATTTGGCAAATTTTGATTATCCCTTGTCCATTATACACATTCCACCTTTTTTTATTAAAGGAAAAGCTACTTTTGATGTAAAGACGTTTATTTTTTGCTAATAATGAGTTGGTATTAATTCCTAAGTACATAAAGTTTACCATAGAGTATCATCTTGTGAGTCCTTTGCATTTGTTGCCCTTTATTCTTTATTATTTCTGTTATTTGGATCGTTCACTTTGAATGAAGGAGAGAGAACTGTGATAGGACGATATGTTGTAACCAATCTGAGGGAGGAAGCATTCAGTCTGTCAGTCACATACGATAGCATTGGGCTTTTCATCGATGCCTTTGGTATTGTAGTAGATAGTATTACACCATTATGGTATTATAGTTTATATATTGTATTTTACCATATTACAATCTTACCAGTCAGTGTCACATGATTCAGTTTCCTACCAGCCAACAGACAAACCAATCACATACTCCTGTAGGAACAAAGGAACATCCTCGGCCAGGCGTGGTGGCTCACGCCTGTAATCCCAGCACTTAGGGAGGCCGAGGCGGGCGGATCACGAGGTCAGGAGATCGAGACCATCCTGGCTAACATGGTGAAACCCCGTCTCTACTAAAATACAAAAAATTAGCTGGGCGTGGTGGTGGGCGCCTGTAGTCTCAGCTTCTAGGGAGATTCTGTCTCAAAAAAAAAAAAAAAAGGAACATCCTCACTTTTTTAATGCTATACCACTCTCTGCTCCCAAGTTAATCCATGTTTGGGCCTGTGGGAGCTTACACCATCCTCCTATATGTAATTAATAACTGATGTCTGGCTTATCTGTTTAGTAATAGATGTTATGTGTTTAACGGTGCCAGTAAACATAGGGTGCTAATTCCTTCCTCACCAGTGGGGTGCATGATACGCTATTTGAAGCAATTGGCAACACAAATGGAATGGACCAGACCTCATGCAGGACACCTGCTCAACTTGACCTACCTGCTGTTGGCTGACGGTTCCGTAACACATCAGCAGTCACCTGGGTCAGAACCGTGAGCTGACGATGGACCTTCCCTTTGGTCTGCACAGTGTTTTGTGGTCTTCAGGTGTTGTCATCTTCTCCCACACTAAAATGCTCTCATCTTCTAGACATGAATGTTTAATTGTACCCCAGCATGACATTTGGCCTGTGCTTAGCAGGCAGTTTTGAGGCCCTGGCTTATTAATGCACAAGAGCACAGCACATAAGCCAACACTTAAGTCCTAATTAGCAAGAATCAGGCTGTATCTCTGTAGTTCCTGCATCTACTCTGGTCACCATCTCTGTATGCTTAGGGCAGCCATGTGAACATTATTAATTATTGTACACTCCAAGACAATAGTTGTTATGTAGGCAGAAGTAGTGGCCTTGTTTGTTTCTTGTGCTGCTGCTCCCGTTGCTGCTGTCCCATACACCCTCCTGATGAGGTGTACTTCTATGGTGCCTCATGGTTCAGGCACTGATGAGTAAAGAAAATGGGAAGAAAGAGTTTGATATTAGCCCCTACTGAAGCGTATGAAGAAACGTCTCAGCTGCTTTCATTGAAAAATTCCTAGCCAGTGTGTGGGCTTTTCTTATCACTGCTGCTTATCATCATGTCAAAAGTCTAATCTTCGGACTGCAAGTCTTGACGGCCTTAGACATAATGGCCTTTACTGCATGTGGAGCCAACCCCAGGAAGATGGAGTGGCACTCTCTGGAGGTTTAGGTGGTCTCCTTCAATGTGGGTTGATGGGCTCCTGAACTCTTTCCTTTAACCATGCAGAGAGTCTACACTGCCAGTGATCATGTGCTGCAACTCTATAGATGTAGAAACTCAAAATATTCAAAATATTCTGAAACAGTTTCCATTGAAAGGAAAGAGAAAAGCAGTCAGGTGCCATGCTCCCGTCAAGAGAACTAGTAGATGGCTCACGAGAACACTGTCGCTACTGTCTGTGCCTCTTGTCACAACAAATATCCTGATCCTTCAGTTTTAAGGGTGCAGGGCCATTTTCCTCCCTTTCTTACTGGTAGTTCTCAAGATAACAGTATGATATACTGGGAATGCAATATCCTGATAATCAGGTAACATTGGTCAGAACAGCCCAGGCTCTGTTATAGTCCCTGCTCGAAACAGAATGGCCTTTAACGCTTGTGTCCAGCAAACCACATCCTGGGAGAAAACCCAAGGTGGGCTGCTTTCTGGGGTCCCTCAGTTGTAGTGCAAGTGAAGCATTTATAGTCAAAACTCCATCCATCTGCTCTGGGTAGCCTTCCTGATCTTGTGGTAGTGGTTCATATTGAATCCTAGACTTCTGTTGTCTTTTGTTTGCTATTTGTAAGAAATTCACTTCATGGAATTTGTGTATGAATGTGTTTGGTCTCATTGTACTCTGAAAAGTTGGTAGCCATTGCACAGTGAACCCGCTTCATAATTGGTGAAAACACCTATGGCCCCCTTGTGCCACAGCAATGAGGTTAATTCAGCCAAACATAAACTTCATGATTGTAAAACCCTGTAGCACAATTATTACCATGTGGGAGGCCTTTAACAATGGTGATGCTGATTTGAAGAACTCTGAAGGAAGAAATTTACACAAATGGGTTGGGTACATGGGTGTCCCTGCTAACTTAAATCAACCCTTACTCCCCTCCGCCTAAAAAGAGTGGAGAGGCCGGGCACGGTGGCTCAGGCCTGTAATCCGAGCACTTTGGGAGGCTGAGGTGGGCAGATCACAAGGTCAGGGGTTCAAGACCAGCCTGACC